ATTAACATTTGATCTGCTTACAGAACATCAGAATAACAGAGTAAATTTGTAAATTATTTTTATATATTTTAATTTTCATGTATTTCTTCTGGTATTTTCATATACTGACAAAGAATCCTGACATGGTCTTATCCAGAAGTGCCCCTACAAAATTATCTTCTGAAACAACTCAGCTTCTGCCCTCACAGAGGTCTGTGGACACCACTGCCAAAATCTGTAATGTTCTTTCAACTGCTGACAATGGGAAACTTATTCATGCCTTTGTCTCACCAAAAAAGCAGCTCAAGGTTTCTTTTGCATGTGTTACCACAAACCATCATTTCAGACAGAGTAATAACAGATAACACATTGTGGTTTGGATGTTACTTTGATCTCCTTGTGTTCAAAGCAAACAGAAGGTGTGAGAGTTTTTGTAAAGCATCTCAGAGACTTTGTATCACTGGGCTCCAACTCTAAGAGCACAGTAGTAGAGAGCTGTATCTGCCAGTTGTACTTCTCTAAGAGTGAGCTCAGTTGATGATCTGGATGTAGTAGATTCAAATCTTCTGTCTGCAGTGTTGCTACCACTCCATGATCGAGCACCTCTATACAGTAAATACTGTAGAGCTCTGTTAGGATACTGTCTGTACCAGTACAGATAGACATAATTACTACTTGAGTCATAAGAGCATTTCAGTGTAACTGATTCTCCCTCTTTCTTAAAAACATCAGGCTTCTGATCTACTGATGGTCCAATTTGATCAGCACCAAACACACCTGAAAGAAAAACTGAAGAGACAGAATATTTAACAGTTTTAAAAAGTGTAATTTTTCAGTTATTTTTAAGCACATCTTCACAGTGAGTACCTGATGTGATAATGAGAATGATGAGGAGGTTTCTCTTCATTGTGAATATGATCAGATGGAGTCAGTAGTGTGTTTAAGCTCTCAGTGCTCTAATGCTGATCTGTGTGTTAGTGTGAGTCTCTCTGAAGTGAGCGCAGTTATGAGAAACTACAACAGGAAACTCCTGCTCTGGGGAGCTGCTCCACTGTGCTTTCTGACTGTTTGAAAGATCAAAATGCAGGACAAAATAGTTAAAACTTTTAAAGCTGCTATGAAAGTCTCAAATGTGTGACTACTAAATAACAGGCAATGAGCATACAACAGTGATTTGTGACCAAGAAGAAACACTTTGACAAAATTCTCTTCTGATTTGAGGAATTTCACATTAGTTACTGCTGCTGTTTTATATCCAGCCACTGGAACTTTAACTCACTACATTAAACACAATATTCACTTCAACAAAGACAACTAAGGTAATAATTTCCTCATTGAAACATGAAATCTATTGTGACAAAGCAGAATATTCGACATGTGCTTTATCATCACAAAAGATAAAAGTATTACGACATGAAGATGTCAGCTAATTCTTGGACAGTTCTTTGTGTTTGGGGCTGAATGCTTAATATTTTTTAAAACTACGTTTGTGTGTGATTGTTGAATGTGATGATGTCACAGTGGCTCTCAGAACAAAGTAGCACATGACAGAGTCACACACATTTTAAATCATCATTATCATATAATTGTGCTATTGTATAATATTTTAAAACAGTACGAAGTTGCCTTGAACAGTTCAGCATTTCAACACTAAAACATGTGTTGATCAGATGATAACTACCTTAAAATGTCTAGCCTGTCATGTACCCCCTCTGACTTTTTTTTAATATGTAACATGCACACCTACAAGCAAACAGTATAATAGAGGATCATTTACACATCTATGTATGTATGCAATTACACAGCTTTTCATATGCAGTCTGTTGAAAGTGATCTTTTTAAAACCTATATACAAATAGAAAATATATTTAGAAAATAATATAATAATAATGTAACTAAAACAGTCAGTTGATTTGTCAAGCCAACATAATGAATAGAATACATTTTAAATTTGACAGACATGCATGTACTGCTGTGAATGTGGTTTAGTCACAGTGGACCTCAGGACACAGTAGAGTCACACAGCTTCTGTATCAGTGAAACTGAAATACCTGCATCAGATCATTTTGTTATTTTCAACTCATCATCATTACTGTATGATTCTGAAAATCTCTTCAGCATGTTCATTCAGAGTTCAGCAGAACACTTTGAAAAATAGTGAAGGCTGAATACTGAATACACTGTCTTTAATGTTTTTAGTAATGTATTCCATTAGAGTGCATAAAAAGAAAACTATTGAGAAAACATTTAGAATTCATTTAAAACATATATTGAAAAGGCAAATGGAAAATCTCAGTCCACTGCTGCTCCCATAATCCCTTGAGCTCCCATAATCCCCTGAGCACTGCTGCTCCCATAATCCCCCTGACTGCTGCATGTCTTCTGAAGTTCCTCAGAAAAAAAAATAATATAAATAAATAAATAAATAAATAAATAAACACTGTAATCTGTCAACCTAGAAATCTTAAAAAATAGAAGAGGTGTCTGGATACTTTGTGACAGACAGTGTAGTCCCTTTTAAAGTTCACCTGCAATCACCTGTCATATTAAGCATTATTACTATTTTGTTCAGTAATAACTTCTGAAATGCAGGTTATAACATCATAAACTGGACACAGTTTTCAGATGTTCATCATTACATGGGGTAAAACATGAAATTATTAAATAATTAACCATAAACTGTATTTATTTACAATAATTTCCTCTTCCTCGACATTTTGTCACCACTTCCTTCATCTGTTAAAAAATAAATTGTGACATAAAGCTCTAATGTTGCTTATGAAACCAAACTGTGTCCTCATTCACCTGAGATAAAATCTAATGTGAAGGTCTTTAAAGTATGTTTGAAACAGTTCTTCTCTTTCTGTCCACTTAAGATTGAACAAAGCTGTTTCAGTGTTCAGTAAAGACTAGATGAAGTCCACCCTCCTGTGGACAGTTTCACTCATTACATCTGTGTTAGAACATTATTTCACTCTGAGACTACACACACACAGGCATTAATTTAGGTCAGAATTGTGTTCTTAAAAATTTAGAGAACTAGATATATTTATCAGGATTATCAGAACTTCAGATAAATGTAATATTGCTAGTTTGAATGTAAGATCTCTTCAGGATGACATGCAGTGTAAAATAAATTTCAGTTTACAAATCTTTATACTGTAGAAACATTCTGAGAAAAATAACATTATTCATTCAGAGGCTTTGTACAGTATCTAATGTTTAAAGCTGTGTATTGTAAGGGGTATAAGAGGAATGAGTCAGCTTTAGTTAGTACAGCCTCATGCTCTGCATTTCTAGCTAAAAGAATGGAATTTAGTGTTCATCATTCAGCTCAGTGTATCACTGGTAGGCTGGCATGATTTCACTAGTATAGCAGACTGACTGCCTGACTCATGTTTCTACAGAGGTATAAATAGAGAAATAGAGTGCAGTTATGAGAAACTACAACAGGAAACTCCTGCTCTGGGGAGCTGCTCCACTGTGCTTTCTGTCTTTGTGGAAGATCAAAGCAGAAATAATAGTAGAACCACAAGCAAAAGCCAAATAAAGTAATTAAGAATAGTTAAATGCATGACAATAAAAATAATTAAAATTAATGTTAATGTATGCTGAAATGCAGATTGTTTATAAATCCTGTTTTAAGTGAATTATTTTGTAACAGATGTAACCACACAGCAAAATCTCCAGTCTTGAATTAACTCTTACAGTGTTCATTTGTGTTCAACAGGACTTTGTTGTTAATCACTCACTGGGGATTTTGCTGTGTGAGTTTCAGTGTTTCTTTTCATTTACTAACATGTTCACACACAAAAGAATTAGCATCATTGAGAAACCTTAACCCCTTAAAATCCCAGGCTTATTACATGCTATGGCTGATTATTCAGTAACTTTAGGGATTTCAAAGCAAACTGGTCAAGCTATTTTAACATTATAGAAGTGTGATATAAAACTTTGGGCCTGCTGGTGGGCCATGACCATCTTGTGGTTCAAAGTAAAAGTTTCGGACTGGTGTATCTGTTTACTCCACAGTCAGCCTCCTGCAGTCATTAATGCGCTAAAGCTTTACTTCAGCTTAGTTCTATTCTGGGCTAGAGCTGTGTAGCCTCACAGATTACACATTACACATTCTCCTCTTTGCTCCATAACAGTCTCTTTAAATCATAAGCTCCGCCCTTAATTGGGTCTGAACTAAATGAATGTTAAAAGACATGCAATTACAGCGAGGTTGAATAAATCAAGCCTTGTAAAAGATTGTCATTATCATTCTGTATATAATCACTGTCATGGTTCTTTGCATGGCAATTTTCTATTCTTTTTTTCTTACTGGTAAGTGTTATTTAACTAGCTTTATTGCACCTCTGTCTACAGTCTCACCTTTGCTATGCTTCCCCCTCTCGCAGGATCACTGTGGATTCTGACAGTTCCTAGAAGAGGACACATTCAGTAGCACCGCCATTCTATTGTAATTAATGTAAGTATGTGAGTATACACAGTTCTTTCTTTAACCCATATACACACACATATGACAGATGTTCCTCTGACATCATTACAGTTTGGTTTGTAAGATGACTGTAACGAACAGGTGCATTTATTATTTATTATTATATCCATGGTTTTCTTCAATTCTCAACAGCAGTTGCCATGACGTCACAACAGTTCCTCTAGAATGGGCTAAACCTCCGTGTAACGCTTTTCACCGAGAGTAGTTACGATGCCATCTAACTATCCCAAAAGCACAGGAACGTTATGTGCTGTCAGAGGGTGTCACAACAGCTATCGAAAGCTTAAAACGATGTTGGAAAATGAATGCTACGAACACAAAGGCAAGCACAGATCAGAATGTCAGTGTCTGAGGCCGTTTACGTTGCACAAGATGCCGAAGGAAGACGAGTCCAAAAGGGCATGGCTAGCAGCTCTGAATTTAAAAAATCCCCCCCGAAATATTCATGTTTGCTTCTTCCATTTTGTGGACAAAAAACCAACTGCTGACAATCTGTATTCTGAACTTTGGCTGGGATATGATCGCCAAGCTAAAAAGAAGAGACGAAGACTTTACCGTCCAGACCCAGGTAACATATCAGTAATAACTAGCACATAAGTGTCATGTTTTTAGCCCCTTATTCCTGAGGCTTATAATTCAGTACATAATTAACTACTACGAATTATTCAGTCACTAGTGTAAAACTAGTATGCAAGTTATTATTAAAAGTAGTTATTCAAAAATGTATACTTGCAGTTATAGGTTCTGAATGATAAGCCTCAAGACTAATTTAATTATAAGCTTTTAATAAAAAATAAAATTCTACTTGAAATCATAGAGCTGTACATCACCAATTAAGAACTTATTTCTTTATTTCTTATTTCTTATTTCTTCTCTGCTGAATTTGATGAAGAAAGTCAAGTAGCCGATCAGTGAAATATCCTGAATGATCAGCTACATTACAGTCATCAGGAGGATCACCCCAGAGCAATCCTAAATGATTTAGTCTCTGTTGGAACTAAGCGGGAGGACCCCATTTTGGAGGAACACAGTTACACCTCAAAAAACAAATGACAAGGTGACAATAGACCAGTCAATGCAGTGCAATCTCCAGAAACCGATCTTGGCAAGTGATCTGAATTCGAATTTGTATACTGGACTGCCACTCCACACATTTTAAACTCTCGTAACTGTGCTGAGGCCATATGCCAATGATTATTTTAAGACGGAAATTGAACATCAAATTTTGATCACATTAATGAAGCTGAAATTAAATCTGTTATTGGAAGATCTAGCAATATGATTTAGTATGTCTGTTAGTCAAGTGAGTAAAATAATATCTTTTTGGATTGATGTAATGGCTCAAGTGCTGAAGGATCTGATAACATGGCTCCCTAGAGAGACTATCAGAGCCACAATACCAGAAGCATTCAAATGCAGCTACCCCAATGTCACCTGCATTCTAGACTGCGGCAAAAGTGAAATTCAAAAACCAAAGAATCTGGATTCAAGGTCTGAATCATACAGCAACTACTATTCCCGAAATACCATGAAATATTTAGTTGCAGTTGCACCATGTGGTCTTGTAATGTTTATTTCAGCAGCATATGGAGGACGCTGTAGCGATAAGTTCATCACCTGTGACTCAGGGATCCTTGATTACCTCAGACCAGGGGATGAAGTGATGGTGGATCGTGGATTTATGATAAGAGACCTGCTGTTTGAGAGAAAGGTGAACCTGGTAATTCCTTACCTTACCACCAAAGGAGCACAGCTGACAGAGGTGAAGGTGACACGCAGTCGCAGGATTGCTAACGTATGGATACATGTAGAACGTGCAATTAGGAGGCTAAAAGTGTATAAGGTGTTGTCACAAACCTTTCCAATTAGTCTTACACCAAAAGCAGACAAGATCCTGAGAATATGTGCAGCTCTAGTTAATCTGCACGGTGACCTTATCCGTGACACTGTCGAGTGACTGCAACATTTTTATGCATTGTCTTTATTGCAGCATTTTACAATTCTGTCTTTCAACAGTTAACATCTGGATGGTCTAACTCCAACACAGTTTGATGATTTACTGAGTTGGGTGTGTATAAGCAGGGACATGACCACACTGTGCTGGACATCTGCCCTTTAGGACCAAAGCACCCCTGGATAACTGTACTTAGAAGTAATTTGTAAATAGATCCCAAGGTACATAGAAATGAATTGATTTAAATTGTGTGAGTATGAACATGTGCATACACACAGCGGTAAATACGTACAGGGAACTGGATTACAATAGTATGAATGTGGAAATGTTTGTAGACTATAAATAACGTCTACATAGAAATGAATTGTTTATAACTATGAACATGTAAATGTACAGATACAGCTATTCGTATTTTATAACTTAAAGTATAACTTCAAACCTGCCAGTGAAAAACTGTCATTATTAAACACAATACTGTTATCTCTTGCTACCTGAAATGTTTTCAGTATTCAGTTTTTAGTAGGGTTCCGAAGTGTGATTTCTCACACTCTTTAAACCTTAGTGACAATTTGCAATATCTGTCACACAGTCTGAGTTGACTTGCAAGGACCTCATCCACTACTCTTGGAGGCATTGTAGAAAAGTAGAAAGCCTTGAGATGAGTAACCTGCTGTGTGACATACTCCTCATTGTATGGAACATTAATCAGCAGATTCTCGTTTGGAGTCCAGACCAGCAATTTTGACATTCTTAGATCAATACAAAACATGCCAAGCATGTGGCACAGGGCACATGCCAAGCATGTGGCACAGGGCACTTGATTTTAAGAAGTTCAGAGTTATTTATTATGCCATCGGGACTTCCTGACATCCATGGCTCTTCTAGACTGACTCTTATGCTTGAGAGGGACACCTGCAAGTCTTGCTGAACTAAAGTGTTTCGTGCCATTGGCTCCTTTTCAATGTCATAGGTTGTGGCTGCATTGCCTCGAAAAGTGGGGAATAGATGCTCACATAAGAATTTGTCAGGATTTGTAGCTGTTTGTACTGGGACACGTTTGGCTGCACTAGCAGTGATCCTTATCTGCCTTGCACTATGCCAGACATCCGACAAACTTTGATTCTGTGTTTCAATCTCCAATTCAGCTGCTGTGGCATTATCAATTTTGACGTACGTATTATAAAATGCTTTACATTTACCGCATGACAGTGCATCACTGTGTTGCTGATGAGCCTGTAGTAGAAGACTGCTATCTCCACCAGCTAGCTTGTCTCCTTGTTTTGATGGGGTGGCATTGTAGCACTTTTCTAAAAGACAGTTCTTTAGACAAAAGAGTGGTTTAGTTTGTGTAGAATCGACAAACTCCCTGAAATCACTGTGTGACCCATAACATGCTGTGGCTGTGAGCCTTTCACCCTCTTCAGTTGCATATACTTCATACACATCATCTGCCCTGTGATGCCTGAAGTTGATCTGATTTAGTCTTTTCTGCTCAAGGTTTCTCTTGGTCCCTGCATTCCATCTGTCATGCTTCTAGCCACGGCATTCTGCACTTTAGCAAAATATCAAAATCAGCACAATGTACTAAGTTAATGACCTCACAGGAAATTGACAACTGTAGTCATATAAAATTTACACAGTTCAGTATTACTAAACCTGTGTGCTCTGATTACATGCATGAAATACAAGAGCCAGTGGACAATGCTGCCATATTTAGAGCTATTTTTTGACTTGCTTTGTTGATGTTTAAACAAACTTACACTGATTTACACTGAGTTGCCAGTTTTATCAGATAGGTGCACTTTATTGGTTTACAACTACAGACTGTAGCCCATAGGTTGCTGCACAATTTGTCAGCCCCCCTCTACTCCACCCATTAATAGAAGTAGGACCACCACTGACCAGATATTCCATATTCAACAATGGAAACCACAATAGGACCAACGTATTATTTGGGTGGTGGACCACAGCAGTGACAGTGATATGGTAGCAATCTGTTAATGTCTATAACTCTGGTAAGAGTGTTTTGTGCACAGTGGTGTTTATGGATTTTTTTTAACATCTGTGTGTCACTGCTTGGTAGAGAATAGTTCACAGAGTCTGATAGGCTTGTACCAGCACCACACACACTAACATGCTGCTATCATATGAGTGTCACTGTTATACTTAGAATGGTCCACCATCCAAATAATATACACTGTGGTGGTCCTATTGTGGTTCCTTTCCATTGTTCAATGAGCTAGAGGGGGACTGATGAATTGTGCAACACCAGATGCAGTCTGTAAACCTAAAATGCGCAACTACCTAAAAAGGCCAATGATCTTAGGTACAAAGATAAAACATAATAAATGCATAAGAGATACACTCTAATAAAAAGAGCGAATAAAGAATGCATACCTAATGGCATTTTAGTCTGCCTACGAAATACTTTGCTGCTGCAGTGCCAAACTAATAAACCATTACGGCTACTGTGGCAGATAACCAATTTTAATGTTTCTCAGAGTAAATGCATCTTAACTAGCTATGTATTCTAGTTTCATTTAAAATCCCTAACCTACCTTCCACAAAACAGCAGCGACGTGGCTACAAGATCTGCCCGGACCAGCGATGCAAGACCATCCTGCTGTCTCTACTACACCGTTGTTTTGAACCATAACCCATGCTGAGTAGTTAGGTTTCCCGACAGACTGGCCTGGCTGTACCTCAGCTTTGAGAAATGTGAACTGTTCGCGATTGTAACACAGAACCAGTTACCACAGAATTTTATTGCTGTGTAGACAATTATAAGCTTCTGTGCTTTTATAATTTCTCAGATCTTCACCGTCTACACCTTCAGAAGAAAACAAAGTAGTTGATAATGTCAACATACGTGACATCTGGCCAGAGTTTCACATCGTCAACCCAGACTCGGGATGGGTTCAGTGGATGAGGAACAGACTGGGTGACACCATTTACAGTTCTTGTTAAACATTCTTGTCCATGATGCCATCACGACACAACTGCCATCTTCTTGTATCCAAAAGGCGAAACCTAGCTAGCTATATAGTTTAATAACTGGCTAATGATACATCTCTTTAGCCTTGAAGCTAATGCGTATGCTATCAGTTGTCAACAACAAACGCATACTGGAAGCCGTGCCCATTCTCAATCCAAAGACGCGCAAAGCGTAGTGGTAAATGTTGTTGTCTAGGAAAACCGTGGATAGAACTGCATGTTTGTGTGTGATGGATAAATGTGACGATGTCACAGTGGCTCTCAGAATACTGAGATACTGATCAGGATACTGATGTACCACTGCAGACTGTTCACACTACCTTCATACTTGCAGGAGAGAATAACTGTCTCACCTTCAAGAGCATGAAGCAGTGTTCTGTTCAGTGATGCTATTGACTGTGCAGAAGAGTCTCCTGTGAAAATCCATCACAGAAATATCACATCAGTGCTGGAAATAACAGATGTGTCCTTTAAACCTTAAATTTCATTGACTTCAAAAAACCAAAAGTATAAGAGTACATAAAAGTATATAAGAGAAAATGTTTTGGTCTATGGGACCTACAATAAAATATACACTATTTATTACTGGTACTTACTTTACACTGATATAAAGAGAGCCAGAGAGCACAGAAACTTCATGGTGATGCTAGTGTACAGATAATGAGGAGATATGACTCTGTTTTTTGATCATGTAAAGGCTCCTCCTACAGCTGTCAGTCTGTCTGTTAGGACGGAAGAACACAGACAGAAATCTCATTTCCTTTCTACAGCCATGTTCCACTTTTACTACTAATCATTATTGTGTTCAAATGTCTCAACCTGTGAGTTAGATCATTTGAATACATGAAGTGATCACTTAGACTTTCAATTTCTGCCTCTGGTTCTAAAAGGTGCGTTTGTGGGCATGATGCAGTAAATAAACCTATGCAAGAAAATGATAATGATAACTAGAAAATGGAGAAAACCTGAGTTCATGTATCTATAAGTCTGGTAGAGGTGTTATGTTGTATGATGCTATGGAGTGTGTTTTCATAGTACACTCTGTTTTGTCAGGGCAACATTTCAAGATGCCAGTAAATCTGAACCTCACTGCTAATCAGGTGTTCAATAGATGAAATCCAAGGCTGCTCATATGATGAAGAATTCAAGCTTAATGGACTGACTTTGCACTGACTAGTGGGAACAAGTCCAAGCAAACTAAACACCAATTCCCTCATAGCTCCACCTTGCCGGTGTATAGTCTGAGACTGTAATGATGAGCAATTTCTGTTAGTCATCTTGCAACCCTTGATCAATGGTAACATTCTGACCACAGAGCCACTTGTGGGTGGATCAGGCTCAAGCAGTGACACAGATGTGTGTAAAAACCCCAGAAACACTGCTGTGCCTGATACACTCATACCAGTGCCACACACACTACCATGTCAGTGTCACTGCTGTGTTGAGAATGATCCACCACCCAGATCATATCTGGTCAGCATTGGTCCATTGATTGATGCAACCACTATGGACTGTGTGTAGAAAGCAGTGAAGAATACTGTTCTTTTAGACAACTTCATAAACATTATGAAAGTATGACAAAATAATGTGTGGCGTTTATGAAGACTATAGAGGAGTTACAAAATACTGACAAACACTGTTTGTTGTCTGTTTTCATTTGATGGTGTTTATCTAAAATCAGCACATCAATTAATATTTGAGCAATGTTTATTGACTCTCAGTGTGCAACTGACTTAGGAAGCATTTGCCTTTTTTGTATAATTTGGCTAATATATATACAAAACTTTATCCTTTGTCAGCTAATAATAAGTATACACTTAACTATATACTTTCATAACTCAGTGTTTGCAACCCTGTTACTTAGTAGGACTTAGTATTCCTTTTCAAATGTTTGGAAAACATACTGTCCCAACAAATTACACTAAAGACAATATTTCACTATGTTGAGCAGATATCTGATTTTTTATAAGTGGAAACAGCAATAAGTTCACTAAGTTCAAGTTAAGAAA